ACACGATCGTGGTGGTGTGTACATGGTGCATCGAGATAATGAGACAAGCGCCAAGCCGTGGACAACTCTCGGGCATCTTGGTTGTGCCGCTTTCGCGGCTCATCTCGTATTGCGTATGTACCATGCGCGTGTGCCCCCTTGCCTCGTCCCCCCCCCCTCCCTGCGAACAACAACAAAGTAAATTCTACCGTCCGTATTCGCGTTTGACCAAAAACTGTGACGCAACAAGGAACACGATCAGGCCGTCGGAGCCAAGCGTATCACCATCCCATTACCCCCCCCCTCCCTAAACGCAAGGATGATGACACTACCAGCTTCTGGCACATCCTTGCGAACCGTAGCCTGGGCCGGACCCGACATACTGGTCCGTCCGGGCTTTGCAGGGATGCGAGGTTGGGGTCTAACGACTACGGCATGGTATGCGTTTTTTTACATGAGTACACCCGCCCAAACCTTGTATCCGACCACCAACACGCAGAAAACGGGCGCCACCGCGAGCACGAACAACCACCAGGCCTACCGCAACCCCCGCACCCACTGGTGGGACGTGTCCTTCGTCTACGGCAGCGACGAGGATACCCTCAGGCGCACCCGCACCTTCGAGGGCGGCAAGATTCTGGCCGGCAGCGACGGGGTCATGGACCACACCCCGGAGGGGAACATCGCCTCGGGAGACAACAAGAACTCGTGGGTGGGCGTGTCCCTCCTGCAGGCGCTCTTCTCGATGGAGCACAACTCGATCGCCGACGAGATCGCCGCTGCGCACCCCACCTGGAACGGTAAGGGGGGGGGGGGGGGGCATGTACAGTAGGCAGGAAAGATTGCGCTGTGGCACAATAAAAAAAAACAAGATCTGAAAAACAGACCTGGATGAAGAATAGTAGCATCTTGTATCGAGTGGCAGAGATTTGCACGGAGATGATCCTTGACAACAGGGGCTCGGTAGGGAAAATAGCCCCATCCCTGGGCGGATCCCTGGCCGACACCCCCGGTAGACCCACGGGACGTAAGACCCACGGGACGTGAGACCCACGGGACGAATTCCTGTTTTGCATGCCTTAGTTGTTAGGCCATTGACCTTGCGTCCCTGGGACGGACGGAGCACGCCGGGTTTTCGCCGGGCCAGGCTATCACATCACCAAGCGCGAAGCGCCGTGGCGAGTCGCAAGGGGAGGGGGGGGTGCTCATGTTTTGGCATGCTTTAGCGGCTAGACCATTGACCACGCGCCCTTTCGAGAGGACGGAGCGTTGTTCCCACGGGACTGATCACCGATGATGGGACAATCGTCCCTTCCTATTTTACCAAAAAGGTGTGTGCGTGTAGTCTCCGGACTCACGTACGCCAGGGCACATCTCCCCGCGAAACATCCACCTTCTCTGGTTATGGCCGTACACGTTTACGAAACTAATCAACGCTTGGACGTCCATCTCGTCCTCCCCCCCCCCCCCCCTCCTGCTGCCCCCCCTATCCTTGCTGTTTTTTTTTATCGTCATTTTGTCACTGGATCTGTCCGCGAAGACGAGGAGATTTTCCGCAAGGCTCGCCTGGGCGTGAGCGCCATCGTGGCCAAGGTACACACGATCGACTGGACTGTGGAGCTCCTCAAGAACCCCATCCTGCGCACCGCCATGAGGGCCAACTGGTACGGCATCATCGGTGAGTGAGGGTGTCCGATGAGTGCTGCTGCTGCTGGAGAGGAGTGAAAAGTGGGCGTGAACTCTGACTTCTTGCTGACCCAACCTCCCCTGATGGACTGCACGCTGCTGCTGCTGCTGCTGCTGTATTTTTGTTTTCGTTGGTCCCAGGCAAGTTCTTGAAGGAGAACACGTTCCTCGGTAAGGCCGGGAACACGCTCATCTCCGGCCTCGCCAACCTCAAGGAGGTGAGAGAGGCATTCCGAGACGTGTGGCGGTGCTTGGTGTTGTTCAGGCACTTGTAGGCTCTGGCAGGAGATGTAAGTATGGGCAAGCTAGAAGCTACCCCCTGGGAGAGGCGTTGCTCACGTCGTCGTCGGAGAGAGAGAGAGTTTTTTGCTGCCCGTCTGGTGGTGGTGGTGGCAGTAGCGCCAAGGCACGTGGCGCCTTTGGTTGTTGAACGTCATGTGTTTTGAGTGGAGGTTGGCGAGAGGCTGGTGCTGGTAGTAGGGCTGGCGGCGGTACCTGCGCCTTTGGGTGTTCACGCCACTATGAACGGCACGTGCCTGCGCCCAAACGGCATGCGTTTGCATCAAATCCAGTTGGTAGACAAGGCGCGAAGCCGCTTGGGGTTTTCGTGTTGTGCATCAGTCACCGACCGCGTTCCTCCACAACGGCGTGTCCTGTGCCGTCGAATGAGCACGAGGAGGGCAAACAGGACGGCTTGATCTGGTCCCAGCGGTGTCGAACTTCATGGACAGAAGGATCGAAAGCGAGGGCCTTGCTCTCACGCGTTTGTCGCCTTTTCGCGTGTCCCTTCCCCCTTTCGGGAGTGATACCGATCGGATTGCAAGAATAGGGAAAAGCAGTGTTCGAGCCAGGTAGCGAGGAACGATTGGCCATCGGTGATCGGTCCTGTTAGAGCAATGCTCCGCCCTCTCGAGGACGCGTGGTCTATCCGCTAAGGAATGCAAAACATGAGTACCCCCCCCCCCCCCCTCCCTTGGCCTCTTGCTCTCCCCCCGGTTGTCCCCCCCCCCGGGTTTGCGGTTTTGCCCCCTGGGCCCCC